CAGCAACAATAGCGACGCATATTGAGTGACAACCGAACAGACAGTAATCAGGAGGTAACAGCAGCAGCAGCAGCAGCGAGTAGCAAAACGGCAGCCGCGGTAGGCAACTACATACGTAAATACATACACACAGCAGTAACAACAACCCGGCAAAAACACGACAGAAAAAAATTAACAGCAACAACAACACCTAAACAAGGTAAAAAAGAGAAAAAATTACACAAACAATAGCAACAAAAGTAACAACAAAAATTCCCGCGTTGGCAAAAACAACAAAAAAAAAAACAAACGAAAACTTCAATACCATTTCCAAAACAACAACATATCCATCGTCAACCAACAGCCAAAACAGCAGCAATCGGCAGTTGGCAGCCAGCAGCAGCAACGGCCATAAAATGGTAGCAGTATCAAGTTTTATGTACTGGAGGGTAGGCAATCCATGCAACCATGCAACCAAGCAATGGAGCGACCGAGCAAGCCGTGCACCATCGAGGCTCACAACGAGTCAACCACACCACGCCACGGTCGCGCTACCTCGATGTGCCTCTCTCCATTCAACCACTCTACCGCCATGACCACCATCACCAACGTTCGTCAAGTAAAGCATACGTACCGCCTCTCTTCGATCGAGCTGTCGAGGTGGTTGTAGAAAAACAAACAGACGAGCAATACAGTGGGACCAACAGTGGAGCTGGTGTTTTTTTGCATTCAAGAAATCTTTGACTGCTTTATAAATTCCCTTATTTCTATAATACTTGGATCGCCGCACATTTTTTGGATGCTAAAGCGTTAAAGGCTACTCAGAAAGTCAGGCGGCTCTAAAAGTCTTGAATTCTAACTGGGAAAAGTGAGTGAGTAGTGAGGTGCCGCAGATTAACGTCATGGCCGAGCAATTCACTACCCACCTGGTATGTGTGCCGGAACACAGAGGTATACCAGGCAATGAGATGGCGGACGAGCTTCCAAGCAAGGGCACTTCCCTTCCATTTTCAACGTCTTGGAAGAGGTTGAACATGCCCGTCGCTACCTGCAAGCTCAACATACAAGAACATGACAAAAACGCGTGTGGCCAAAATGGGACTTAAAAAGAAATCTCCTTGAAAAGGTCAGTTGACTGGTCATAATCGGGGTGCCGTTCAATAACTTCTGCAGGAGCTGCAGAAACGACTAGGAGCCTGAACCAGTAAGCCACTTACTTTGCTCACTCGGTGAAGTGAATACTGAGGTTATTGGGTGCTGGAATATTTGGCGAACTGAGTGAGTTCGCGAGCATAAAGGAAAAGCGATTGCTCAAATTTGTTAACTCCACAAAGTGGTTTGTATAGGACGGGGGAAGGGAGATCCCTTTTGGTACAACAACAGGCAGGTGTGCAAACCGGCAGCCAATGCAACGTAAGCTAACCTAAAGTGTAAATTCATTGAATTACGATCCCACTCAAGTGTTTAAATCAACGAAACCGACCAGTCTCAGCAATAAGTACTCGACAGCAACTTCCGTTCACCTAGCACATGGATTTTAGTAGATGTTCTTAGATGGAGGTAAACTTGCACTACTGGTGCCGGCTGAGTGAAATATTTATTCGTTTTCTGGTTGTAGGAGGTACATACTTAATGTATTTTTAAGTATTTGCTCTTGTCTAATGTTGAAAAATATGCCTCATTCTCAGCAACTTCTTTGCTTGTCCAAACACGTTTTTTCCGTCCAGTTTATAACAAGGACTATTTAGAGCATTCGGAGGGTTCACTAACTGCAACTGAACTGAACCAACTGAGGTTCAGTCGAAAAATGCTTATACACAATTCCTCACCATTTTTCAGCCAGCTGTCGCGTTTAAAAAATATTTAGAAAATCTTGTAATCCGTTGTTTTTAGTATTTTGCGAACATCTGGATCAGTGAAAGAGTACAGAATGCGCTTACATAGTTTGTTCAACCAAAATTTCAACTGCCTAAGCCTCAGAGCATTCAGAGTACCAGTTTCCTTGATAAAGAAGATCTACTGGTAATAGGCAACAGATCACGATCAAAAATTCAGAACTCATTCCTCAAGACATTGGCTCTATGTAGATGTCGAATTTCGAATCAAGTATTTAATAATGCAGAGGTCTTTTGTAACACTGGGATATACAATTTATCCGCGTTTTGAAAGAATTATAAGCTGAAGCTTTAATACATATTTCGGTGTCAGAATTCTGCCGCAAACGATTGTCGCCCCTTGAATGAATAAAAAGACACTACAAATCGGATACGGAACTTGGTCTTCTTGAGTACCAATATTTTCCCAGCAGATACCTAAATGTAAATGAACGTACTCTTATACATAGGTACATATCATTCAAACACGTGCAAGATATGCTCCTCGATTAGTAGTACTACTGGACATCTTTGGTTGTGTTGAATTCATAAGAGCTTTTTTCGGCATATTATAAGTAGAAAGATTTATCTTCGTACATATTCTTCAAAACGAATCACTGTGAACAATATCAAAAGACTTTGAGGGGAAAGCTTCACACCTCAAGAAATTCAATGGCATACTGCATAGCTTTTTTAGGCATACCTCCAAAGATAGTCAGTGGTAAACTTGTGCACAATTTTCTGACAGAACCTTCACTTCTTTCACGTTTTTTTTTTAAGTATTTCAAACTGAAAATTCAGAGTACTTGAAATGTCATATTCCTTTTAAGTACTACATTCGATAGCGAATGCGCTTCGTCAATTTAAATTGTATTGCGGAGGAAGCAGCAGTCATTTTATTCGATTAGTTTCGAAACGAGTAATCATTCGATCATGTATGCCGCGATTTGGGTTAAGGTGCAACTTCCTTCGTCGGTTTAGCCGCAACCAGTGGAGGACTGTAGCAGGGAGTAGGTCAATTCGAAATTACCCTATTATGGGGCGCTGGCATACAGAACGATATGGTTTCAAGGGTGACAAAACACTCAAACCTATCAAGACCTGCAAACCGACCATGAGTAGCTTCTCATACAGATACGGGGTGAACTTGCAATGAATACAGGACTTCATCCATGGGCACGATATGAAGCCAAAAAGTAACGTCCAGGTCTACGGAAAAGGATACTCGTATCTAGTTATAGACACAAAGTTAGGTTGGAATGTAATTGAACATTTTCGCATTGCTCTTAATACGAGCGATGCCTCAGAGTCTTAATCTGTTAACTCGTTTGCTTTCTAATTTCTTTCCCGAAACATTATTACGACGGCTGAGTGGAAGAGCGAACTATCTCGGCAGCCAGTTCGAAAACGTCCGATCTCAGAAAACTTTTCAGGAAATCCCTATTTCAGAATTTGATTAAAGAACGCCCTGTTTCAAAATTTGGTTAAAACCGCCCTATCTCAACTGCCGATTCAGAAACGTCGTATCTCAACATATTTTCAAAGTATATTGTCAGTTGAGATAGGGTGTTTTTCAACCAAATGCTAAGGTAGGGCGTTCTTGAAATATTTTCCGAGATAGCGCGTTTTCGAACCGGCTGCCGAGATAGGTCGATCTTCCATTTAGCCGTCAATGACATATACTAGATCTGTCCACGCTAGGGTGCTCCTTAAAAATAACAGCATCTATATTTCGTTTGGGGCACTCCTTTATTTTGTTCTAAGTGCAAAATAAAAACTTGCCGGAAAATAAGAAACATTTTTCAAAACTTTTACGGGTCGCTAGTAAGGTTCGAATATTAACATTTAACTTTACAAAATTTTGGCTTTGAATCGGATAAATTAGACAAATTATTGATTTTTTTTAATTTAGAATTTTTTGTGGATGTCTTTATTTTGAAGGTAGGATAAAAAAGTGATGTTGATAAATTAAGCGCCACCCTAGTCCACACCATAGAACAACACAGCATTTCAAGTAACAAAAAAAAAAAATACCAATGATTGACAGGTTTCGTTCCCACTGTGCGTCAATGTCTGGAGGTAATATCCCAGAGTTATTTCCAGTTGCTGTTATTTTGTATCATTTTACTGGTTTATGTGTTTTTTGTCTTCATATATTTCCAATGTGTGTGTGTGAGTGCATAGGTGTATGTGTTGTATCGTTACTCTCACAATTCGTTATACTGAAGTCTTCTGGTTTTTAAGCCGTTTCCACGCTGCTAACGTATCGTATATGCGGTCGCAACCGACAAATAGACGCAAAGACTAACCAGCTGACGGCCAAATAGATGAACCAACAGACGAACCAGCAGACCAACCGACAAATGAATGGGGCTCCGACAAACGCTGAGACAGTCAGACCATGTATATAGACTAATGGACACAGACACGACAGACGGACGAACGCTGAGTACAAACAACCGAACTATAAGCAAATAAGAGCTAACAAATTCATCACATATGCTGGCCAACGCGACGAGTAAAAGCAAACTCAAAACTTGTTTCTCTCCTACTAGCCAAGTTGTGAACAGACATTTTGCGCCATACGCTCAGCCACGGCTTGCCTTGTTGAACAGGCAACGAGCAGGTAAATTACCTATTGGAGCGACTGCATAACGCTAAGAGAGGAGCCCAACAACCGCATGAAACGAGATGAACGCGCAACTCAAACGTACAATGGCATCTCGGCTGCTCACATGAAACTTAAAGGAAAACAAACAAAACAACCGATTGGAAAACCAGTAGATGACAACAATAAAAACAACGGCATTACGCTCCTACTCTCGTGTAGTGACGGTGGCAGTGGCAGTGGCAACAGCGGCACCACCAGTAGTCAAGTCAATCCAGTCAACCGGTGGCTCAGCGGTGCCTCTTTTGTCTTACGTTGCAACTGGTTTTTTCTTTCGTTTGGCTTGTAACTTGGCTGAGTGTGCTGCGCTTTTATGAGCATGAATCTGACAAAGAGGCCACGCTATGAAGATCATATGGGCTGTTGAGTATGGGTGAGGTGAATAAAAAGTGAGCTCTCGAATTGGTACACTCTCTCGTTGGGTACAAAAGGTTTTGTGGGCTCGTTGCCCCCAACGATGCGACTCTCGGATTAGTCTTGAAGAGTTGATCGTTGAAAACGCACCTGTAGAAAGTCGGAACGGTCGAACGACGTTGTGTTTAACCATACGGACGGATTGGTTTTTTGTTTTGGATTTTTTTCGAACGTTTTTTCTTTTGTTTGCTTCATTATCTGTGTGCTCAAGTGCAGTTGTGTGGAATACAATACGGTTACTAATATATATATAAGAGAGTCTACAACAACAACAAAAACAACAACAACAACACCAACTATATACTGTGTATGTGCAGGAAACAACAACAAGAAATAGTATACTAGTGTGAGTTTAAGTTTAAGAAGATTAAAGTGCGCAGTAGCGGCAGCCGTGGCGGTGGCGGTGAGGAACGTATTTATGATCGAACGTCGAAAGGTGTTCTGCACCTGGACAAGGTTGTGTGTGTGCGGCGGCAAAAGGGCAGGCCGTCGCACGAAAGGTTTGCTTCGCCAGCCTAAGCGTTTGGGAGGGGAGGAACCAGCCGCGTGTTAAACTGCAGCGTGGTGGGATTTGTGGTGAAGTAGTACTGAGTTGTTGGGATGCTAGTGAGCGTATCTTATTTGAACTTGTTGCGCCGTCGAACGACTGTCTGTCAATTGGTGAGGCTGGTGAGCTCTGCTGCTTGGACGTTCATTTTTTCGTTTATGGCTCGACTCGTTCCGTGTAGCGAACTCACGTCTGTTGCTCTCTGACAAGTAGACTAGTATGCGAAGTTGAATAGAAAATCACACATACATTGAAGGAGTATGGCATCGACTCAGACGCTTACAAATAGGTGCATAGGTTTTTGTGTCTGTTGTACTTAGAATACGTGCCTATGGGTATTTTTTCTAGCAGTATCTATGTTAGCTACTATACAACTGTCTATATGTTTATATGTATGTATGTATGTCTGTATGTTTGCATGATCGAAGCGATTTCGACAATTTTCTAGCATCGTTCAACGTTTACCGTCAGCATAGTCGTTGTCGTTGTCGTTGTCGAAGTCGCTTTCGTCGGCGTTGTCGTCGTCTTGGCCGTACTCCATAGTCGTAGTCACAGTCGTGTGGGTAGAGATTGGGACTACTTGAGGAGCGATTTGGTAGCTGCACTGGCTTCAGCTCCTATTTCAAAACAGAATGTAGAAAAACACATTTCAACTGCCGTTTGGGCAGCACCACCAAGCGAGTTGGAGTTTCAACTTATAGCTTTTGTTTTTTTCTAAGATTTTTTTTTTTATGATTTTTTTTTCTATGATTTTTTTTTCATGGCTTTCTTGCTGATACCAGAGGGAGTATGCCAGGTTAGAGAAAAATGTGTGTGTATGTGTGTGTGTGTGTTTATGTACACATGTATGGTTGTATGTACGTATGTATGTACCTGTGCTGACTAGGCAACTAGGCGGCAGTATAGGCCATGATAGACAGGGCGAGACGAGACCATATAGCGTTAGGGTTATAGAGCCAAGTTGTATGTACGAGTATAGTTGTTTGGAGAAAAAGCAAAGGGGTAAGACGTTGTACGAGCAGGTAGAGAATGCATTTACATTTGTATGAGTGTGTGTGTCGTGTATGTGTGTATGTAAAGTAACTGCTGCAGTGGCTGGAGTTATTTGAAACTCTATTAGATGGGCATTTTACGGTAGTGAAAAGGGTTGCAGTGGCGTAAAGGTATTGGAAAATTCCACAGCTATGAAAATAGTGAATCAGTGGTAGCAATAAAATGAAAACTGTGAAAACCGAATTAACAGTTTGAAGCATAAAAAATGTGCGTGCAATAAAGGATATACTGTAAAATTAAAACGAGCAAAAAAAATATGAAAACTAAAAAAAAATTAACAAAAACTAGTAAAATAAATTAAAAGAAAGTGAGTTAAAAAATCGGGAAAACAATTTAAAACCTTTAAGACGTAATTTCCAGGAGAAATAATATTTCTGAAATGTTTTCCTATTTTTAAAACAAGTTCTCAAATATTTTAAACATATCTTGACAACATAAAAAAGTTTGAAATCCAGATAAGTTTAAAATTCTTGTTGTAGTGCTAAAATTTAATTAGAATACATAATTAAAAATCATAGAAAAATTAACAACGTCTATCTTTTTTATGAAAATTTTAAAACTTTCTATGGAAATTTTCGAATGAGATTGGAGTAATCTTACGTGAACATCAAACAAGCAAACAATTAAAAAGTGGCGAGTAAAAATTAAAAATCATATAGCCAGTACCCATACTCCAGGATTTAATCAGTAATAGTCCGAGGTAGTCCGGAAGGTTATGCGGTAACATACATGAAAATAAATATAAAAAAAACCCGATGAATTGATAACCTCCTCCTTTTTTTGAAGTCGGTTAATAACGAGTGAAGTAAATTAAAAGAGAGTGACCTAAACATTCGCGGAAACGCCGTAAAACCAACAAGACATAAATTCCGGCAGAAATGAAATTTATAATTTTTTTTTTTTTAATTAAAAAAAGGTCTAAAACTTTTTAAAAATATTTTTAGAACATAAAAAATTTGAAATCCAGATAAGCTGAATATTTTTGTTGTAAAGGGTGAGCACACCAAAACTGCGACACTTTGGGAAGCTTATAACTTACCCAAAACGAATACAATATTTTGAAATTCAAATACCATAAGTTGACCACGACCTTAGTTGAACGTAGAAGAAATTTCATTTGGATTTGATTCCTAGTTGAGTCAAAAATGGCAACCGAGCTAGAAACGAGACAAACCATTTTGAACGAGTTTATAAATGATCCGGCCTTAAGTACACGTAAAATTGCTAAAAAATTAAAGAGTGCACTATTCGACAGTTTGCAGGGTTTTAATCGGTACAAATAAGGCCTGACAGTTACGAGAAAACCAGGGAGCGGGGGTTAGCATGGTCAATGTGATAAAAACAGTGATCGGAAGGTCCTCAGTGCGTTTTCGCGAGATCCGAAGATTTTGTCGCGTTATGTTTCAAAATCCGTACGGAGATCGCAGTTTTTCGTACAAAAGGTAAAGCGGAAAGTTTCATTGAGATGTTCTACAGCTCAAACAGCGCCAGACCGAGGCGCATAGTAGAATGTTACAGCGAAATCCCGCATTCGGAAGTTGTATGAATTCTAAATTAAAAAATACAACTGCATTGTTATGGACTGCGAAACCTACTGCTATAAGAATTCAAAATATATTGCAGGTCAAGATTTTTATACTGCTGCAAGTCGTCAAGATGCCCCTGAAAGTTGTAAGCTGAAAATGAAGTCCAAATTTCCAAAAACCATATGGTTTGGCAAGCTATTTGATCCTGTGGCCGTAAGAGCAGCCCTTTTTTCCCATCCGGGACAATGAATGATCAAGTTTATCGGGATGAGTGCCTCAAAATGCGTTTTCTGTCATTTATCAACAGATAAGGAGTAGGCCACTGTTCTAGGCGGACGTGGGAACCTGCCACTATGCCAAGGACACATTGCCGTGGTATAATGCAAATAACATCAATTTTGTACCTCACGACTGCAATCCACCCAATAGCCCAGAGCCACGTCCTATTGGGGAATATTGGTCAATTGTCAAAGGAATCTTGAAGAAAACAGGTGAAAGAGCGAAAATTATTGAAGAGTGCAAATCAAAGTAGTTGGGCGCATCGCGTAATGTCGATGATGCAGTCGTGCAGAACATGATGGCGCGTGTGCGATGAAAATACCGATCACTTGCATATGGAGCAAATAATAACTAATACTTTAACATTTTAATAACATCTAAACTTCCAAGTTATATAATACAAAAAATAATAATTTCAAAGCCTTCTAGTTTGTTTCTGGTAGTAATTTCTAAGTGTCGCAGTTTTGGTGTGTTCACCCTTTAGTGTGAATAATTAATTGAAATAATTAAAACTCATAGAAAAATTAAAAAGGTGCTTCTTTTAATAAAAATTTTCAAACTTTCTATGGAAATTTTCGAATGAAATTGGAGTAATCTTACGTGAACATCAAACAAGCAAACAATTAAAAAGTGGCGTGTAAAAATTAAAAATCATGTAGCCAGTACCCATACTCCAGGATTTAGTCAGTAATAGTCCGAGGTAGTCCGGAAGGTAGTACTGAAGATATTAGCTTTGATAGAATATTTTTTTGTAAAATCTTGTAAAAACGTGAGAGTAAAAAGGGAGTAACAACCAAAAAGTACGGGAACACAAGAAGCATTAAAACCAAAAAACGAAAAAATTGAAGGCAATCAATTAAAAGTTTAATGTTCGCCAGACACATTAAATTGTACACGAAACAGTATCACTACGGTAATATTTTTCGCTATTAACTCAACAACGTACAATTTTTGTTAACTTTTGTGCAACAGCGGATCGCTTGACACTTTTCATGATTTTATGGGAACGGGCGAATAATCGAATCGTCAAAATTAGATTTCTGTTTTCTCCGATCAAATTTGACTGTTACTTTAGGATTCTCATTTTTTCGATCGTACCATAACCGTTATTTGCAGGTTTAATTTTTCCGATCATAAAAGATTCAAATCGATCATAAAAATGCAGTCCCCATTATAATGGGTAAAAACATGAAAAAAAATAAAATAAATCCAAAATAACTATTATATTTGATCGAAAAATTCCAAAATAACAAATTAAAGATTAAATTTCACCTAAAAAATAAAAACTCTAAACTGAGCGATTATTTCTTTAATGAAAAAAAAATACAATTTTGTAATGATTTAAAAATAAAAAACGCTATTTTCGGTCCCTCCAAAAATAAAAACTCGGGACTTACTTAATTTTTTAATAACAAAAATTAAATAGTAAATTGTGAAAACCTAAATTTTAATAAAAACGCGGAAAATAAAAACTATAAATTAATTTAAAAAAATTAATTTCGTTTTAATCAAAAAAAAAAAATCAACTTTTTAATTCCAAAAAAAAAAAAGCATGATACACTTAAAAAGGCATAAGGAGAGTTCTAAATCTAGGTAAATTAGGTTAGGTCGTAGTAGCCAACCTCATCCAAACTATAAATAATTACCCACTTGGATCAATTGGCCAGTTGTAATATCGTTTTGGCTCGTAAATAATTCCCAAGTTAGGCCAAGGTTGGAAAATGCATCAATTGTTTGGAATCCGATTTAATTCACGCAATCCCACATAATCGAAAGATTTCAACGAAGATTAATTCGTTTCCCTCTTCAGCCGCTTAAGTTAGTAGAACCTCTATTGTTTTACGGTTCCGGTTTATGATCATGGATTTTTTAGTTGCTTGCATTTGCATTTTTACTGTCCGTAATGGTTATCTAGGAAATGGTCTGTGGTCTCGTGTGGAA